GTGTTAGTATGCTAAATGGAATATAACCCAGATAGAATGACAGCATGAAATAAAACCGTAGATATGTAAGTATAATACAGGCTTACTTTTAATTATTCACAAGTCTTGTAAAATATTTCTAAGAGAAACCCAGCGACAATTATTCTCCAGTGAATTATGATGCTTCTAAATAAAATGCTCCCTGAGTGGAGCCTTAAGTGGTATCAAGTATTATTGATGAGCTAATGGTTTCAGAAAAGCATGTAGTATCAATGCAAATAAAATAATAAAGCCCAGATTTAGCTGCAACTTTTGTGATGTGGCCTAATTTACTGTTTCTCAAAATTGTATGTGCCCCTGAGGGTATTGCTAAAATGCAGAATTTGTTTCAATAGATCAGATTGAGCACTAGGATTATGCACTTCTAATATGCTCCCAGCGGATGATAGCTCTGCCAACTGTTGGGACAATGGTCTGAAAAGCAAGGGTTAGATCAACATTCCCCAAAGTTAGTTTCACCTAACTTTGAGATATCTTATGGAAAAAGATTGCTTTACCAGGGGTGGCATATTCTCTCTCTTGGATTTGTGATGGACATTAGCACCAAAAAATCACAGAGTAAGGAAACAAACTCAGTATTTTTATTGTAGTAAAATAACCTCACGTGTAATATATCTGTCCTTTTACATTTTCAAGTGTGCAGTATAATATTAATTATAACCACAATGTTGTAGAACTGATCTCCACAACTATTTTGTCTTGCATAACTCAATCTTTATGCCCACTAAAGAGCAACTCTTCCTCTCTTCCTTCCCCAGCTGCTAACAATAACATTTCTACTCTCTGTTTCTATGGATTTTATTACTTTATATATCTCATATTAATAGAATCCAAGACTATTTCACTATAGAATACTTCAAAACACTCAGAACATATATAAGTAATCGTCATATGTAAGGTTATATTATTTACTGAGAGAAGCTAAATTCCTACCAGATCTGACATTAATGGTTGGATAGTTTGTCATGCCATAGCCATGATTACCAAGCTTGTATTAACACAAAAGAGTAAATAATTGTGATATTTTGGTATAAAATTTAAACTTTAAAATAAGTATTTTGAAATTATAGGTATCATAGTGTGGAGGAAAGGAAAACAGCTTTATAGTCAGATGGACACAAATTTGATTCCCAACTTTGTTTCTTATATATTTGTACTCATCAACCTAAGTCATATATTGAATCTTTTTAAGCCTCATTTTTCTTTCTCTGAAAAATGTCTTTTGTAATTCTACTATTATGGAACTTAATAAAATTAAAAAATAACATTGTGCCTTATAAAGAGTGAAAATCCAATAAATCAACAAAGTGTAGCTCTTTTATGATTACCAAAACTGAATGATTAAAATATAAGGTTGGTGAATTTCATAAATAATGTGTTTCTATTACTACTTAGACTCAGCCTGGGCTAGGTCTTTGGTAAATAATATAAAGTAATACAAAAACTCTACTCTGTGATTAGAATCATGTTTCGACCTGCTTTATGAGCTCTTTTTATATAGATTTTTGATAATATGCTTTCCAAATTATTGGCAAATCTATTCTTTGTACTTTGAGCTGGAAAATGGAAAATGATTTATACAGTTTTATTGAATTTACAAGGGTTAGAGTAAGCCACATTAATTATTGCTATGTCATTCTTGCAGGCTAGCAGGACCTGAGACAAAACATAAGCCAAACTAAATATAATTAGCATTAAAATGACTCAAGCATGAAAAATAATCAAATGGGTTCTGAAATGTCTTATTCTTGTCAACAAAAGATCATGCTTGTTTGCAAACATTCATTTTAATTGCTTTTCTCCCATTTTCTAAAATGTGAGAAGTATTTTAGTTCCCCTATCATACTTTGCAAATAATATTTTTTGTTATTGACATTACAACCTACACTGTCATAAATAATTAATCTGACTTTTAAAAACTAGGTGATGAAATCTAAGAAATCTTATAGAACAAATGCCAGGTGCCCATTTCCCTAAAAAGTAGTCATTTATTTTTTTCTATCCAAATGTATATTATTCAATGTCAATGAGTCTTCTGATCAGTTCATTCCTTAATTTAGAGTATAATTTTTTTCTTCTAAGCTTAGTAATTTTGGGTTGAGTTTAAGGAACAAACTCACCAAAGAAAAAGATGTTTTTACATGGGGATTCTATCCAATTTCCACTCAATAGACCTTGGGTGAGCAGTACTAAATATTTACCATGGACCCATAATGGTAAAAAAGAAAAAGAGCCCAACAAATTAAAGGGTAGAAAAAAATGAAGAAATTCTAGAAAAGATGAGTAGGAGAAAACTGAAAGTTTTGTAAGTAGAGCTATAGGGAAGGTGCTGCATTCATAAAGGACTTGGGGTATAGTCAATAATGATAGACAAGGATCAGGTTTCAGTTTGATGGACAAGACATCTACCCGTATAGTAAGAGCTGAGGGATTCCAATGAGGGAAAGCTAAGACAATATTCTCTGGATATCTGCTGGAAATCACTTCTTCCAATTCCAGTTATACTATGATAGTTCTCCCAGTGGATTTCTGTAAGTGGGAGTCAAAGTCAGAATAAAAGAGCTACCCAGGCTGATTCCAGAAAATGTAGGTCTTCTTCTAGTTGGATCAGGGCTGATGTTTAGCAGGTAGATACCCTTTGGCTCTATTAGCTGTAAATTTATTTTCACACTTCATTAGTATTTGATAAAAAGCTGGTGCCGGGATTACCCATGTGTCCCCTTTACTCAGCTTCATCCCTGGTTATTTATGAATTCCTGAAATCAGGCAAATGAAGGGGTGATATCTAGTAGAACAGGACATTCCAGGATACTCCAGCATTATGTCTGGTGTAACTTCTGATACACAGACACTTGTGCCAAAGCAGGTGTCAAGTATTTGGGCTTTCACCCTTGGGGTGGGATATTAGCTGTGGACTTCGAAAAGAAAAGGGGCTTCAATGTTAATGAAAGTCTGAAGTGGGCTCTTTGATGTGAGAATGGGACCAAAAGGGTCCAAACAGAATTTTGTCTATTTTAAAATTTGTCTGAATTAAAATAGGTGTGGCAATATAATTAAATTAAAGTTAAACTACAAGCATTTTTCCTTTCATGAGCTTAGATTACAATTATACTAAAGAAAAAGAAACATTTATAATCTTTTCTTCTGTTGTGCTGTGACCGGCATTTACAAATACATTATGAATTGTATTTTCTTTCTTTCTTTTTTTTTTTTTTTTGACTATTGTGGGCCAGTTTTTTAAAAAAGTATTTCCCAACTCATCTCCTATCACTTCTGGACTGACAAAGTGAAAATCCAGGGCTCTAGCCATAGTTGAACTTGACGGGTTCTTTCATGACCAGATGCCTTGGCACATGCTGCCCCTTTTTCCTGGGATATCTGTCATCTTTTATTATATAAGTAATACCCCTGAAGCCTTCAAGGTTCAGATCAAATGACATCCCTATCTCCACTGCTCATTCTCTGCACCTGTGGTGTTTCACCTAATGTAGGCATCTACAAACATGCCTAATGAATTATTTCAGACAAACTTTTAAAATTACTTTTACAAACACTTCAGACAAACTTTTAAAATTACTTTTATAAACATTAAAGAGGAGGAAAGAAATGTGTCTGGCTTTGTAATATACTCATCACATTCTATTAAAAGAATATTCCTTCTGAAGTATTTTTTAAAAAGGTAATTATCTGAGTAAGAAATTAGACAGTCTTATCTTTTTATTTGAAATAGTAAGTTTCAAGTGATCTTGATCTTTAGATAAAAATCTTTTTTTCTTCCTAGTTATTACTTTTTTGCATGTAATTGTCTAACTTTCTATAGCTTTATTTGCACTTCTAGATAGTGTTGTATGAATACATACGCAGGTTCTAATTCTGTGACTTGAATTAATCACTTCTTAAGAAAAATACAGATGTCCTTCTGGAGAATGCCATTACGTTAATTATAATGCATTCCTGATTGCATGAGCATTGTTTCCCCTCCTAATACATGAAGTTTATAAACAGACCTATGAGATAGATTTTTCTGACATAAGGTCTCTTTTTACTTACCTCAAAATACTTTAAATTAATACAAATTTTATGTAACATGGGATTCAAAGCCAGGCAACGTGACTCTGGAGTCTGTCCAGCTAATAAGCTCTAGCTTGCACTTCTGCATCAGACATGAAAGGGGGAGGAAACAATGATTGCAAGAGAAGTTTTCAGACAGCAAGAGGAATTAGAACAGAGTTATAAAGAAGGAAAACATTTGGATGTGTGTGACAGAGAAGGAAAAGGGAGGTAATCATGAGGAAAGGAGTTACAGGAATATAGAAAGAAAGTTAGGAAAATACAACATATATTCATAAGTAGTGCAGTCCAGAGGGACAGGAGTTTTTGTTCAGAATTGTGGGAAAGATAATGCATTCACAGTGCTTTGCTGGATATTATTTGGTACATTATACCATTACCGCTATTAAAATAAAATGCATCCTGGGGCGCCAGGGTGGCTCAGTTGGTTAAGCGACTGCCTTCGGCTCAAGTCATGATCCTGGAGTCCCGGGATCGAGTCCCGCATCCGGCTCCCTGCTCAGCAGGGAGTAGGCTTCTCCCTCTGACCCTACCCTCCTCATGCTCTCTCTCTCTATCTCATTCTCTCTCTTAAATAAATGAATAAAATCTTTAAAAAAATAAAAAAATAAAATGCATCCTTAAACTCATTGACATAATTGATTTTAATATTGAAAATTATGTATTATTATATCTTAAATGTCAATGTTATTATTCTTCTGATACTTTCTTCTCACTGGCGTCACCCATTACAGTAAGTTACCATCATATCGTGAATTTACCTCCTACTAGAAAAGAACATTTTTTAAAAGAATATATGCAGTTTGGACAAAAATAAAACCTTCTAGTAAACTTTTCTAGATAAGTATGGAAAATCAAAATGTGCAGTTCATACCACTGTTTCTTTTCAGGCAAACCAGTGATGATAGTGACAGAGTACATGGAAAATGGATCTTTAGATACATTTTTAAAGGTAGGTTTGAAATACATTTACTTATTCAAAGTGTTGTTTGTATGTTGACTATGATGTTGAAGTTGAAATTGAGCCACTTTAAAGCAGAACTTTTAAATCGATAGAAATATCTGGAGTCAGAATATACTTCAAAAAATAAACTTTGGTTTATAAATTGTCCTTTTCAGAAACTTAAACAAATCTAAATCGTATGTCCCTACAGTTTTATTTGTTTGTTAATTTGCCTCCAAAAAAATGAAAGAAAGAGGGAATAAAGGAAGGGGGGAAAACAAAGAAAAGAAGGACAGAAGGAAAGAAAAGGAAAGGGGGAAAAAAAGAAGCTTTTTTACAAGTACCTAACTTTCTCAGAGTATATAGTATCAGGCAGAGCGAGGAAAAAATGTCTAAAAGGTCCATGCAAATCATCTGTCTTGATGAAGGGGTCCGATAGGCTCATAACCCGTCTGAGAGTCAGCCACTCCTGGTACAAGAGGAACGGTCAGGTAGTAATAGACAATATCACTAATGCTGTCAGATCTTCTGGGTTGCAGGAAAAGATTCTTTTTATGTGCAAGTGTCCAAATTTTAATTGTTGGTAACTCCCTGTATTACTAAATGGCTTGTGCCAGACAATGTAACATATTTGCAGGCCTGATTAAACCCATAGCCTGTTACTTCTCCACATTTCATGTGGCGACTTCTACTGTTGATTAGGTGAGGTGATAGGACAATGGTTTCTCTGAGGATTATTCCAGGGGCCTGGGCATTGATGACAGCAGTCTACTGACAAGGCCAAGTTTTCTTCTGATCTCCAGCCTCTGCCAGATTCTGTTACCGAATTTCTTATACATATCTTCAAGTTCTCTGGTCTCCTAAGGCCATATCATTCCTATAGTTCAAAATAATCATTAGTTGGGTCTTATGCTGTGTGTGTCTGCGCTAAGTCCAGTGCCCTTGACAAAGACAGCAAGCTGCCAAGAAACACTAACGTTGTCCTGGTCATTGCTCCGTCCTCTTCCTCCCATGTACTCCTGAATAACCTCTTTTATCTCCTCCAGTCACTTCTTTTTTACCCCAGTATGCCCATCCAGCTAGCTTATCTCACAGCTCCTCAAAAAAGGTACAGTGTTCATCTAAGGCAGGCACTAGGTTGGAGCGATGAACATACTCTTCTGTTGAATGAGAATAAAGGAGTTACAATGCCAGTTAGGGCAACTAACAGATTTTTGACAAGGGCTTTCAAAGCCTTGATCGGCTTTGACCGAGCAGAGGACTGATTCATGTTACAAAGTTAACGATATATTTCATAACTTTTTCCATTCTCCCTCAGATACAAATTGCATATGAAGTTGGTGAGAGTATTAATTTGGGGCTTGAAGACAGATCCTTTCAAATTTTCCCCCAGTGATTGTTGTTGCTGGATTAATATTTCTACATCATTTTAATAGAAAAACGACGGGCAATTCACTGTGATTCAGCTTGTTGGCATGCTGAGAGGCATTGCTGCAGGAATGAAGTACCTTTCCGACATGGGCTACGTGCATAGAGACCTTGCTGCCAGAAACATCTTAATCAACAGTAACCTTGTGTGCAAAGTGTCTGACTTTGGACTTTCCAGGGTGCTGGAAGATGATCCTGAGGCAGCCTATACCACGAGGGTAAGATCTAACAGAATGCATTTCTGAAACACTAGACAAGAGACATTTAATTTTTAAAGATTTTTAAAGGAAATAGCTAAAAGGACATTCCTCTTACATAGGAAGACAGAGAGAGAAAGGGATGATGGGAAGGGAAGATAAAAAAAACCCACATAATTCTACTTGTTGGATATCAGCAAATTTATATATTAAACAAATAAAGATTCACTGTATGGGGCACAATAATTCATTTTTATTTTCCTACAGATACTGAAAACAAAATCTTTGAGTTCAAAGTTAATACAGCAACATAAAAATTATTGAGAGTTTTAAATGTAAAAAAGAAAGTTAAAGAGAGACTATCCTATATTAAAAACAATTAATATTATATATATATGAATATATAAACATGTATAACATTATTGGGTAACTTAAACTCTCTGCACTATAGTGTCTTCATTTATAAAACAAACACAGAAATATGTAAACTTACCTTTTAAGGACTCACATGATAGGAAATAAAAGAACTATTCCTTCAAAAAGTTTTGACTTACTGGAGGTATTTTAATGCCTAATTACTTGCCTGACATGCTATATTAACTGTTAAGCCCACATTTATGGAAAATTGGTCACTAACTCATGTTGTCATAATTAGCATAAATCAACATCCTTTTCCAGCAAAATAATTGTTTCCTGAATCGATATGGTATGTATCCGACAATTCTTTCTGTGGAAAACTGTGGGTATTGGTACAGCAGAATTTTCTGAGCAGTCTATCTATTGCACCTTTTGAGTGTGAATCCCTTATGAGACACTGTATTTGTTTAATTCTAAATCTTTTCAATGTCAAGATAATATGAAGTTAGATATCCTTAATGTTCCAACTCCTTGTGAAGCTAGAAATATATATCACTGTATCTTTTTCACTATAAGATCTGGTTTACTTTTGTTTCAATACACAAGAACACTTCTGGCATCTCACATTCTTCAGATAGATATATTCACATTTGCTTATTTAATTCAATTTAAAAAAAGACTTCTACTCATGGTCTAACAAACTTTTCATAGATTATAAGGCTTTTTTTTTTTTTTTCAGTGTTGCTTTGTGACTCATAGATGTTTAGGGACTGTACTATACTGAAAATCAAGAGTAACATATAAGCAAACAAAGCCTTCTAATGGTTAGCTTAATAAATCAATAAATTAATTGATGGGATATCCTTCTTCTTCTAGACCTAATTATCATTGTCATTATTTGCCTTAAATGAAACTTTAATTAAGAATTCTCTTGGGGGCGCCTGGGTGGCTCAGATGGTTAAGTGTCTGCCTTCGGCTCAGGTCATGATCCCAGGGTCCTGGGATCGAGTCCCGCATCAGGCTCCCTGCTCCTTGGGAGCCTGCTTCTCCCTCTGCCTCTCTCTCTCTCTCTCTCTCTCTCTGTATCTCATGAATAAATAAATAAAATCTTTAAAAAAAAAAAAAGAATTCTCTTGGGATTAGAGTTACACTTAATAAACTTAGCCTAAGCAAGAAGGAGGGTATAGAAAAATCCATTCCCAGTATGACTGGTTGATGTCTCAGTTAAATGCATAAAATAGATTTGTCAAGGTCTGTGTCAATGTATCATGCTGGGGAGGGGGGAAAGAGAGGAGAAGTGAGGCAGACTTCCCGAGATCTTCAAGACTTACTCCTCTGAAATGAGCCATGACAGCAGTTTGTGGAAAATCCTTATACTGAGAGATGAGAAGATAAGGGAACTTCAGATAATGGTGACGTTGGATATGGTGGTCAGAGGACCAGAAGAAAAATTCTAGGCTGAAGTTTGAAGTAATCAACAAACTACACTTTTAAGAAAAATAGTGATAAGATGTGAATTTACCTGTGAATATTTAATTAACAAAAGTATGTATCAGGAAAGTCTTCTTAAAGTGGTGTTACCATATATATAAGGGACAAATAATTTAAACATAGTTTGAATAGTTCAAATTAACCCCAGCTCACAGAGCAACTTCAAGCATTACATCAAACTTTTATTTCCTCATGTCTTGAAACTTTGGTTCATAAAGAACAACTTAAGTTCCACTTCTTCTAATGTATGAATTAAATTATACTCTCTCTGCAAAATGGGAAGGCATAGGTTAATCTTAATCTTTTTTACAAGAGAATATTCAAAGCCTATGCCTTTCCCCCTTAAATATATTTTTGCCTGTGGATGAAATGTTTGGTTTCCTGGGGTTGCCTGCAGGATATAAAAGTGTTTATTTAGTGAACTAAGTGGAAACCTACCAAACCAATTTTTTTTACCATGTAAAAAACTCCAAACTTGATAATATCATAAGTTTTTCTCCCACAATCCAATTTCCATAATTTTTAATATGGTTAAATTTAATGAGAGACCTATCTCTTAGGTGAAAACAAAAACAGTCTGTAACAGAACAAACACAAAAATATACTGGCAGGAAATAAGGGAAGTCAAGTCTAAAAGAAATTGCACAGTGATGGGGGAAAATATAACTATATCTGATTTTCACGCTTGTCTTATTAACTGTTGAACCTTCCAGGGTTGCATTCAGCAATCAAGACTTCCCATTTATAATTCCTATGTTAAAGAAAAAAAAAAAAAAAAAGCCCTGGGAATTTGAGTCCTTTACTCTCTGTTAGAAAGTCATGAGCATACCTTATTGATTTGCTGGACTGCCCACTTTCCCCTCTTCGAGCTGCCATCGTGATACTGTAATTGAGATGTGGGTCCTGTATGTGTCCCAGTAGTCAAACAGAATTTAAACCAGAAACCTTCCGGACAGGCAATTAGTAGTCAGTCTACAAGTGCTTACGGGCTGAGATATGTGAAAAGGAGACTGCATGCTGTCAGAGATTCACTTAAAAATGCTACATCTCTTTCTAGATCTTTCCAGTGAGGCAGCAATATCCTGAGATTCATTTGAAGTATGTGGGAATTCTTTTATTCTTTTTCAATTTTAGGGAGGCAAAATTCCAATCAGATGGACTGCCCCAGAAGCTATAGCTTTCCGAAAGTTTACCTCTGCCAGTGATGTCTGGAGCTATGGAATCGTGATGTGGGAGGTTGTGTCTTATGGGGAGAGACCCTACTGGGAGATGACCAATCAAGACGTAAGTATGGAACTATTCTCCCTCAAGTTTGGAATGAAATGCTTTGTTCTCTGAGTCAGGACACAGAAAATTTTTCATTTCTCACAATGACAGTTGCCTAAAAAAGTGAAATACTTTGCTTATTCTCTGATCTGTTTGTTGAAATAGCCTCTATGCAAAAATTCAAAATAAGTTAGTACAAAGGAAAGGAAGTTACTGTTACATAAAATCTCAGTCCCTTGCCAGACAGTATTAGCTGTACTGTATTGACGGTTCACTCATTTTATGTCAGTACCATTTTCAAAGCTGAAGAACGAGCCATCAGAGAATGAATACTGACAGCCAAGTTTTTATGATTTGCATTTGATAAAGGCAGCTAATACTCCAAACCAAAAGGATAAATGATACTGATTTAATAGTGGATGCTCTTAGGGAATAAAAAATAATAATCTACATTTCTTTAAATTAAAAAAAAGTAAGAAGAATTGGATTGTCTCTTTAATTTAGGGAAAAACACAGATTTTTTTCTTATATAGAAAAATAATTCACACTTAGAATAATAGGATCCTAAAATTAAAGGAACTGTGAAAGAATCTTCTATTCAAGTTCAGAATGTTTATTATGTGATGCCTGACACATGGCTCTTTGGTCTTTGCTTTTGTAATTTTCCATTGTTACTATTCAATGCAGTCCTTCCCATTTTGGATCACATTGAAATTTGATATTTTCCCTTCAGGTAACAACAAGAACTATGAAAGCAGCTAACATTTCTTGAACCCTAACTATGTGCCAAATACTGTCTTAAGTGTTTTATCAATTACCTCATTACTTCTTTCTAAAACCAGTATATGGAGCAGTCTTAACAGCATACTGATTTAAAACATTTATTTTTTTTCCTCCAATTATTTCTTTCATCCATGCTCTGTAAAATCTCCCACTCCTATGCCTTCAGGGGTTATTAGACAGATACCACAGCTCTTCAGCTGCATTTTGTTGAAACAACAGTCCCATGCCAGTAATTAAGATTCAATTTCAGACATAAAAATTCAAGTCCAGTCTAAATCAAAGTCAATGCCATATCCATTTCAAAGTGGTTCCCACAAATACAGAGCCAGCCTGACCCTCACTACCTAGACTGGGAAGGAAGAATGGTCACGTTTTTGCTCCTCTTCCTCCTTCGTCAAAGTTTGCATCTAGATTTTTCAGAGTTGTCCTTGATGGATATGTAGAAAAGAAAGGGTAAAGGGCGCCTGGATGGCTCAGTCGGTTAAGCGGCTGCCTTCGGCTCAGGTCATAATCCCATGGTCCTGGGGATTCAGCCCCGCATCGAGTTCCCTACTGGGCGGGGAGCCTGCTTCTCCCTCTCCCTCTGCCTGCCTCTCTGCCTGCTTGTTCTCTCTCTGTATCTCTCTGCCAAATAAATACATAAAATCTAAAAAAAAAAAAAAAAAAGAAAAGAAAAGAAAAGAAAAGAAAGGGCAAGATTGTTTTTATGTGAGCTTGCTGATGCCTCCCGTGAGTCAGACACCCGAACACTGGTTCTCTGGGGAGGTATGTGTCAGAGCTCTTGCACAGACCCCGGGGAGGGCCTTGCTTTGCGGTCGCTAGAGGATGAGGGTGCACTCGGAGTTACCAGGGTTCCTCTCACTTGCCGCCTTCTCCCAACCTCACGGTCTCTCGCCCTATAGTACACGTGTGTATTTCACCTGCTGTTGTTCTTTTTTTTTTTTTTAAAGATCTTTATTAATTTATTTATTTGACAGAGCTAGACACAGTGAAAGCAGGAACGCAAGCAGGGGGAGTGGGAGAGGGTGAAGCAGGCTTCCTGCCGAGCAGAGAGCCCAATGCGAGGCTCGATCCCACAATCCTGGGATCATGACCTGAGCCAAAGGCAGACGCTTAACGACTGAGCCGCTCAGGCGCCCCTGCTGTTTTTCCTTCTTTTAGACTATTATTGCAGACTGCTCCATCAGCCTGCCTTCTTCAAATTTCTCTGGGTGAGAAACCAGGATCACACTTCAGCTTTTCCCAGAGTTATTTCACAGCGTTCTTCTCTGATAGCAACAGTAAATTTGGCTTAATGCATTCCCACTTCTCAACAAGCCTATGGCAAGGCAGCCAACCGCCCCCTTTTGTAGTTACCTCAAATTGCTACAATTGGTTTTCTTTGTGTCCCAGTCACTGGGCTTTGGGAGGGAGTGCTGACTTATATTTCTCCCTATTTGGGAGAACATAGTATCTATTCTCTTCAACTTTATGGTTTTAGGGCTAGGGCTATGGTAAAAAAAAAAAAAAAAAAAGTATCACTGAACTCTTGTTATATATTTGACAATTCATCAGAAAGAAGCTATTATTATTCCTGTTTTGCAGTTAAGAAACGGAGTTTAGAGAGATTAAATGACTTAAGGTCACAAAAAATAATAAATGTTATACCAGATATTTCAGCATGCTTCTCTAGAATTTGTGTACCAAACTACCACAGTCTCTGATTGAATCAATGTCTACTTCTTCCCTCTCATTTTCAACCAATGATCCTAGATCAGCCTTTTGAATGAATAGAAAATATCCAACTCAATATATGATTACTCTGGATTTTTATAGTCTAAAGGAAGACCACACCTATTTGCTACTTACTATTCTCCAGATAGATGCCAAATACTACCTTGAACTACAGTGTACTTCAGAGTTTGGCTTCTAACTTTTCTCAAGGCTTATGTTAATGCCATTCTATCCTTTAATTTTTGTGGAAGTATTTTATTCTGCCATGCCAGCAAGGCTAGTTTCTTCACTCAAGGAAAATCTTTGTCCCTTATTTCCCTAGTTAACTTCTTCTCAAACTTACAATATTTTGACTTCTTATTCTGTCACTCAGAATTATTAGTCCTTCCCAACTATGTGTCTGATATGTGTAGCATCGTCATCTACATTATTGGCAATTGTACCTGATATAGTTCCATCTGTCACAAATAAAATTATAGACCACAGTAGAACATGATGTTAGGTGAATGCTCATGAGTGTTTCTGTTGATCTTGACTGGGCGTGCTCATGTTACTGGGGTTGGCTGGTCTATACAGGCACACATTGACTCTAATCCATGTGGCCTTCATGATCCTCTGGAGACCTGCAGACTAGCCTAGATGTGAACTCATCTGTCAAGTGACTGAAGGGCCAGAATGATACCAATTGTACCTCATTCGGTAACATATCCTCTAAAATCACATTAGCCAATCCCATAATCAGGAGATTGATCCAATCACATGGCCCATTGTGAATGGGCAATATAAAGTTACATGAAGAAGGACATAGAAACAAGAAGGTAGAAAGGATTTGGACAAATATATGTTTCTGACTTCAACCATTTGAGAGTCTTGATATTCCATCAGATAACTTTATTTCAAACTATTTAGAAAAATAAAAGGGAGTGCTGATATACATTCTCAGGAAATTGTAACAATAAAAACTAGTATTTTGGCTCTGGCTGGGTTTTCCAAGAATCTAAATAAGGTTTACAGGAAATGATTATACAATTGCAGATCTTCCTAAAATGTCTGATTTTAATAAGATGTACAATAAAAGCTATATATTTTCTCAACAAGTTCACAATCTTTAGTGGGATTTAGTTTCTACTATATATAGCACTAAGTTTGATATCCTCAATTGCTATCCCAATTTGTATTCATGAAACATGACAGATCTACTGTATTTGAAAATCATGATCACTGACTATTTCTTTGGAAACAAATTCTCAGAGAGCAAAATAGAAATACTGATTTGGTGTTTTGAATGATATATCCCATAATCTCTATATTGCAGATACTATCTAATTCTAAAAAGGCTTTGCAACATGAAAATATGACATTACCAAGCATGCAGAATATTCTAAATCTCTCAGAGGACACCTTCCACTATGTCAAGGGGACAGAATGCTGCAGTCGGTTTCTTTTGATTTAGGATTGCTTCTGTCATCACAGAGAAAAAAAATAACAACACATAATAAAAATAATCTAGAATGACTAAGATAATTTTAATACCAGACCATAAACTCCGATTCAAGCCTAGGAAGCTAAGATAATATCCTGAAGTCAGTAGAAGCTTCTTTATTTGATAGCAAACATTTTAAATGTCAACATTTTTCTGAACTTAAAATCAAAACCAAAATAAGAAGAGATTCAGTTGCATTGCATTTTTATATTTAGTGACAGTGTCTTTCTCTTGTATTTATTGGGAAATGTATGAATACATAGAATATACTAAGCACGTAGATTACAAAATGTTTTAAAAACTCATTTATCTTTCTCAATCTTCTGTTACAATTATTTTTGTTCTTTTTTTTTTTTTTTACAGTCAGTTTTCTATTACTATTTCTGTTGGCCTAGATCTTACTCTAAGGCAGCAAGAACTTTTGACCCAAAAGGATGTCAACCTACTTTCTACTGGGTGTGCTTCTCATCCTCTTTCTATTCTTTGTTGTAATTTCTGATGGGACAAAAAAGATATCTATATATATCTTTTATCGCTGGACTATTTCATGGTAAAAGAATATTTTATGATAGCACACAGCACGTTATATTAATTAAGGTATGATGTTTATACCACATAAACAAGAAAATTATACAAATGTTGTCCCCCTCACCCCCCAAGGAGAGCCAGTTGTTAAATATTTACATCACTGAGTATGTGATACTACCACACATTCTTCACTTGGAAGACCATGCCCTCATTGAGTGATATGCTGTGTGGGATTCAGTGTTTGTGGATCAAGCATTGTAAAGCTTGTAATGCTGGCTGAGGCTCTGTGAGCAGAAAAGGAAAATGTACTCAGAATGAGTATATATATCTGAAAGGATGAAACCACTGACCCTGACATGAAAAAACGGGCCCAGTAGAGTCAACTCTCCGCAAGCGAATAGTGCCATAATTGGGTACTCAGTATTGAAGTTTTATGTATTAAGAGAAGGAGCATTCTTAAAATTGTGTTCAGACTGCTATTTACATGTCAGTGCCAAGAAAATGCATAGTTTAAAATAATATTCAGATCTAGGGACGCCTGGATAGCTCAGTCTGTTAAGGGTCTGCCTTTGGCTCAGGTCATGATCCCAGGGTCCTGGGATCAAGCCCTGCATCGGGCCCCCTGCTCAGGGGGAAGCCTGCTTCTCCCTCTGCCTGCTGCTCCCCCTGCTTGTGTTCTCTCTCTCTCTCTCTCTGTCTGACAAATAAATAAAATATTAAAAAAAATAATACTTCAAATGTAGCACATATGAACTCGTGCCAGATTGTCTGTAAGACTTCTGGTTGTCTTTTTCTTTTTTCTCTTCTTTTTCCTTTGTCTATCTCAACCATCCACATTAACAAACATAGTAGTAATAAGAAAGTCAATTGAGATTATGATTCATTTGGTTATACATTATAAACTGTATGATAAAATGAATAGCCTAAATTGCACTTTGATAGATTTCAAGCATTTCACAAACTACCAGAGTATGAATGCCATTCATTTCTCTCCCAAACTATGAAGGAAACGGTAGTTAAAAATGAAAAAAAAAATTCAATGTGTCTAAATATAAAATCTAAAGTTATAGTTTAAATATACTTGGAAGATAAATTCTAAAGATGAATTTAGAATTAAATTCAATTACCTAATTTCCTGGACCATGTACTTAAGTTAACTTAGAGACATGGTATTATATTTCTGTATATAAATTTATCTGAAAATAAAACTGATTAATATATTCTGGAAATAATGTCTCAAATCAAATAACTTATGAAATTCCTGTAAAATTAATGACTTGGTTTAATTTATTCATTTCATAGTTGCATATGAAGGCTAGCTGCTCAGTGGAGGAAAGACAATATTTAAAAAAAACATAGGTGCTAAATAAAAAATAGAGCTGAATGGTAGTAGCTTCGGGAAAAAATTCATTATGAAATAAATCAAGTTTAAAGTAGGTAAAAATCTCTGTTCTCACTGCATAGTGAAATATTTCATGACTTAAACTATATTAGGACATTTTATTTTGGTACATATATGTTATTAAAGATAATAGCCACTGACATCAGCGATGAGAAGTCTTATAATAAGTAAATTAATAAATACCATTTATAATGATTATAATGATTTATGATAAATCATTATAATCATTATTATATGTCCATCAATATGTAAGTTCAAATAGTACTTTTATTTTTTTATTTTTGTTCTTTTATTTGATTACCAATGAGAATAAATGTTTTCTCAAAATTTATTTAGCCTTTTTTTTTCTTTTGGGAAGTTTTGGTTAGTATCTATTTCTCATGAATCTGTTGTTTTATCATTGTATTTTTCAATATTTATGAACTTTTTAACATATTAGGTCGGACAGTCATACATTATAGTTTTTGTAATAGTTTCTAACATGGTTTACCTTTTAATTTTTTTATATTGTTTGAGTTAACTAGGATGGTAGATGACTCTCAGGAATTTCGCTCATTGTTGTCCAGTTATTTATCTGACCATTTATTTTTGGAGTCCTGGAGTACTTTTTATTTCTCTGCCTGAACTTAACTATTTGTACTTCTCAGGAAGTTTTATTTTATGCCCTTCCCAGGGAGATATATACCACATCTGACTTCAAATTTTGTCCAAGTGCTGATGATTCTCACATTTACATTATCATCTCAAATATGCCCGGCACCCTAGCCAGATTCCTGCAAATTGCCATCTGGGTGTTCCCCACTCACCCCAAACAAAACAAGCCCCAAATTATACTTGTCAACATTCTTTACCCCTATAAATGTGTTAGCCTAAAGTAAAGAGCAACAGCTATCCAGTATGAGAAGTCTGAACTTGCTTTATCTCAGATACATTCCCTCCTCTCCCCTCTACGCCTATATCATAAATGTCCCCTAAATCTGCCATTTCATCTTCTTTCCATGTACCACTGCTTTTCTTCAGATGACATTTCCTTCATCATTGAGAGACTGGTTTCTTTCCAATCTTTCAAAATTGTTTTTGTAAATTTCCTATTCTAATAACTATATTTTTCCATTTGTCAAATCAAATCTAAAGTCTTTGTGAAAAAATGTAATTAGCTTTACTAGTTAAGGAAATATACACAATAGGATTTTGAGAAATATGTTTATTATTATTGGTTTTAGTATCACTTAAATATTTAAATTTTCTAGAATGAAACCTGTAGCATAATGTTCAGAAGCATAAATGAATTTCTTCTGTAGTTAGACATTTTGATGACAGCAGCAACATTATGAATGTTTTTGATAGAACAATTTCACAATTAGACCAATACTCATATGTGTGGTTTTATTTAAAATCAATGATGTCTATAATGCCTGTGCTACTTAGGCAGTCATTCCAAATTCCTGACAGAAATCAGTAGATGATAATAAACAGCCAGACTTTGACATTATTAAATGATACACGAGACAGTTATGCTAATTTAGCCTTTGACTTATCCATCATTTACCATCCAAAAGTCTCTTTTGAAGTAAAATTGCAGTTCTATTACTTTAAAAGATGTGTGTCTGCCCATAATTTTTCATTAAAAAGACATTAACTTTTCAGAGAAATCACTAAAAAATGTAATCCTTATTTGATTCCAGAATGCAAGGATAAATAAAAGATGAACATTATTCTTATGTCAATTAATTTTACAAATCACCCTTCATCAAGATTTTATGTAAAAATGATTACCATTTATTTTCTTCATGGTATGTGAAGAAAACCTATCATTTTACATTGTGATAACATATTTACTTTTTTATGTTGTTTTGCAACAAATGGAAGTAATCAGAGATTTTAAAGATAGTGATGCTGGTTATTACTGCAAGAGTAAGACTAAGAAAGGATGAACGTTGGATAGTAGGAAATTTCTCAGGCTACTCTGTACTAAATCTGTGGTGTTGAGTATGGCTCTGTTTTGTTTTACACAGGTGATTAAAGCAGTAGAGGAAGGCTACCGTCTGCCAAGCCCCATGGACTGTCCTGCTGCTCTCTATCAGTTAATGCTGGATTGCTGGCAGAAGGACCGAAATAGCAGGCCCAAATTTGATGAGATCGTCAACATGTTGGATAAGCTGATACGTAACCCAAGTAGCTTGAAGACGCTGGTTAATGCATCGAGCAGGTATGAAGCCAGACTTGAGAGATTTTCCTAATGTAGTTAATTCACATTGATACCATCAACATTAAACCAATAAAATCATTTTTATACACTCTAATCTATGGATCTATATGACACTAATTTATTTAAATACAGTTTTTGTATAATGTTACTCTCTTGCAATAAAATATTATTATTAAATAATTTAAATAATTAAAAGCGTCAATGCCTAATCTGACTGTAAATGCCAGTTTCAGTAAAATGTTTACTATAGCCAAGTTTAGGTAACATAAAAAAGGTAAATGACGGGCACTGGGGTGGCACAGTTGGCTAAGCATCAGACGGGCTCAGGTAGTGAGTGATCTCAGGGTTGTGAGATAAAGCCCTATGTCAGGCTCCCTGTTGATCAGGGAGTCTGCTTGGGATTTTCTCTCCCTCTCCCTCTCCTTCTGCCTCTCCCACTTGTGCTCTCCCTCTCTCTCAAATAAAGAAATAAATCTTCAAAAAATATTTTTAAAAAACTCAAATGTATGTATTTTGATGTGTTTTGGATCTCACATAGGTGTGCATGGGAAAAAATAAGACTGTAAGATCATACAGAAAAGCCAAATAAGCACTATTATATTGTAAACCAGATATATCTAACAATAATTACTCTTTGATTTCTTTATAACAGATTTTAGCGTCTGTCATATTTTATGAACAGTGACAACTCCTTTAGAGATTCTTTGCTCTTATTTGGTTGTACACAGATATTGGGCTAATCATCCCCCTACTGTGAAGTTGGAACAAGACTTAAAGCTGATAAATGAGTAATTTGTGGAAAAAATTTGTATGAACAAATGAGCATTTTAAAAAATTTTCTGAATGTACATGAATACATTTAAATAATTCTGCATATTTGTAAAACATGCTTTTCTCTTTAACCTGATTAATTATAGAATTATCCTCTCAAAAAAAAAAACAGTTTGATTCTGTACTTTAAAAATATTGCCAGATTGTTATTTTCACTATATTTGAGGCAGTTTTTTATTTTTACAAGAAGTGTAACCAAATTGGCTGCCTATTAGTGTGAACTAAATGAGAAATAATTTGTTGATAAAGTTACATAAGTCCTATGATTCTGACATAACATTTGTTTACTAGGCAAAAAGTCATTTTTAAATACAAATGAGGAATGAAACTTCGACTGCTGTTCAAGCATCATTAACTTTCTGTAGTAGCAACTGGAGAATTTATCTTCTTAGCGATTAGTCCTTATGTTGTTCCTGAAATATCTACTTTTAAATTATTTATTGTCATGTAAAATATTAAGCATTTCTTTCATCTACTTGTTTGAATTATGTTAAGTTTTCACAAATGGACATAAAGAAAGGAAATCATAAAAAGACATTTGATGTTCTAAATTGCATTAGTTTATATTGCTATCATTATAGATTCAGAGCAGTTTAAGAATCTCCAAATAATTTCATATTTTTTTGTGTGCAATATATAGAATGAGCTAGCTAGGTTTCATTTAAACAGATTTGGCTTAGGACTGTACCACTCACTAGCCATCTTTTTTCAGGCATCTACAAATCTTAATTCCAAAAGGTGTTAGTCCCTGATCATTGTCTTTTCCTTTATTCCCACCCATGTCACAAAACTTGGTGATTTCAGTAACCATGCAGATGATGTTTGAATATCTCTCAATACATTGAAATATTTTTCTTCAATGATTTTGGTCACTGTCCAACCTTGAACTCTGCTTCTCATAGTCATGTTCTAGAATTTGCTATTACTAAAATTGGCAACTCTTCCATAATTTCAACTTCAAGATCCTACTCTCCAAATATTTCTTCCTATATTTCTATCTTCCTCAAATCTTTGACTCCCACTGCTTAAAGGCTACAAATTACAAGAAACCCATTTATTCATCCAGATAGTCATGTGTCCACATTGTGTCATGCTATGGGCTAGGTGCTGATTGTATAGCTTTAAGCAACACACTACTGGAGGAGAGAGATATTGAACAAAATAAAAACATTAAAAAACAACTTTGATTTTGCAGTAGAGAGTAAGAATAGAATTTAGGAGGATAACTCAGAGGCTAGACTAATTGTGTAGGTAAGACATGATGATGTCTTGCACTAAAGTGGCAACAAATGAGATAGAGAAGAATGGTCAGATGTGCAATATATTGGAGGTAAAATGGATAGTACACACAATGATAGATTGTGAGGGGATTGAGGAAAAGGAAGGAGTGAACTGTTGGATCATATCCTAAAGTAGGGAGGACTTCAGGAGGAATTGGATGTGGAAAAGATGAGAAGTGTGGTTTCAGACGTGTTGAGGTGATATTCCTATGAGAAATATGGAGATGTGAAGTAGCTGTATGAATATATGAGAAACCTAGGCTGGAGGTAAAAATTGGAGAAAAATAGATGCTACCTGAAGCATAAAAGTGGGTAAAATTGCCTATAGTGGAATTCTATCCTGAGCAGAGTAGATATAGGGCCACGTCCTAGGTCCCTCCGAATTTTAAAGTCAGGAGAAGGAGTAGCAGGCAAAAGGAGATTGAAGAGAAGTCAAGATATATTCAATATCATGGTAGCCAAGGAAGAGAGAGAATTATTCAAAAAAGGTTGAGACAAGGTAGGATTCCAAAAGGGAAGTGGTAGTGGTGGATGTTGAAAATTTCTGAGAAGTCAGTCATTTTAAAGATTGGAAATGTTTACCGATTTTGGCAAAATAGAAATCATTGCTCACCTCAATGAGAGTTATTTTTATGCAACTGGTTTGGAAGAAAATACACTGGAGTAGGTTGAAGTGTAAATGGAGTGTGAGAAAGTGCAGAGACCATGAGTAGAAAGGTATTTGTCCTATATCTTATGGTTGAAATTTACTTAGGCATACCCCCACTGATGGACATTTAAATTGATTTAATGTTTATTCCCACTTACAAAAAATTTTACAAGTACCCTTTGTCATTTTCCTCATTATTTCCTTAGGATACATTTCCAGAAATAGTTCTCATCATCATATCATTATTATTATTGGCCAAACCTATGAGTTTAGTACAGTTAAGGACATCTCATGGGTTGATTGATCCTGTTCTGTTTTCTCATGTATTTGGGGTGACATTTTGTTTTCCAAGTTCTATTACTCCTGGGGTAAATTAACAAGTACGCTTATGTAAGAGCATAAAATAAAGGATAAATAACTTGTGAACTTCCTGGGAAATCAGCTTAAATGCGCTTGAGTTTCTCTAGCAAAGTCTAGGAGCAACTGGCTTTGCACAAATTGGTCTTCATATCTAATTTTGGTAGCATTTTCTATATTATTTTTACAAACAAAAAACAATAATAGGAAGTAAATTCATCTAAATCACCACATGGAATTTTTAGCTAATGTTTCATATCACAGAACACTTACTTATTAAGCCATTATAAGTTTTCATTGACTATGGGTAGAAAAAAAATCTGAATTTTGTGTTCTATATTTTGAATAACTTTCTTCCATGTTAGTATTAGTATATATTTCCCCTATAAATATAAACCCGAAAATCCATTGATTGTGTGCTAACATTACAATTTGTTATAAAAGAGTTAAAGTGTGACTCTTAATATTGCTATTCTCTGTGTTTTAGGGTATCTAATTTGTTGGCAGAACATGGCCCACTGGGATCTGGGGCCTACAGATCAGTAGGTGAATGGCTAGAAGCAATCAAAATGGGCCGGTATACAGAGATTTTCATGGAAAATGGATACAGTTCAATGGACGCTGTGGCTCAGGTGACCTTGGAGTGAGTAATTTTTCTGATAATTTTTACATAATTGCTGGGGCGAGAAAAATTGTTCGGAATCCAATCTGGATGAGGTCAAAGGCAATCAGTTAACCTTTGTCCATGTGTGACAGCTTTCAAAGAAGCCTCTTCTTTTTTAGCCTGTACTGTTAACAACTGCATGGTAATTCTTCTGTGGCCAGTATCGTTGCTTCTTTGCTTCAGACAAATAGCATTTGAATATTGGAATAATTGGAATAACAGCTCCTTGCTAAAATACTGGCATTTTGTTTTGTGGAAAGGATGTTTTCTTGACAAAGTTTTGATACTGGTACTTATATTATATGAATGTAATTACAAAACAAACTGTAAGCACAATTGGTGTGGCTAGTCCTACGTAACGACAAAACACATTCTTAAATTTTGGCTGTAATGAATACCCAGGTGGCAACAGCTTAAACAAACTTCCCAGGCAGGAATCTCATTTAACCTCTAACTGGTGCACCTTTTATTCTTGCAATACAAGGATATATTAGATTCTGCCTCTGATTTGTTATTTGGTACAATCTCAGTGAAACCAATTGTGCCCTTTTCTGTTTGCATGTTTAAGATAACATTTATCAAATCTTATTAAATAAAAACCACTAGAGTTAAATATTAAATTCTTTAAGGTTGTAAGTTGTTTGTATTTTATTATATACTCTGTATGTGTAATTATTTTGGCCTAATATTTGTTATTTGTGAAAATTAACTGTTGTTACGGTGGTTCCATCTAGCCTACATGAACATGAATGATGTTTTAACCTGTGAATATAATAATAACTTACTTTAAATCACCTATAAATTCAAAGGTTAAAATATTGTTGTAAGGATTAGAACATGGTAGAACATTCTAAAGCACTAAACCACAGTCCTTATTCCATTACTTCTCATAATATGAACATTGAACAGTTGTCTTTCACCATTTCTAGGCTGACATTCTTTGCTTCATTGAATTCACTGCCCCTCCACACAAATGGTAACAGGGTACCATCATTTGTCACCAGATAATGTCACATTCTCAGCCTTTCTCTTCCTCATATCTGTAACTATTGGACCTAAACTCACTACTCAGCATGCTCTCTCAATTTGCTGAATCTCATCCTCACCATCACCTCCAAATTGTATCTATTTGATGACACATATGCTTTGCCCATTATTTCTTTGGATGCTCAAAGAACTCATCTGTGCTATATTTAAAATAGTAAACAGAAAATTTTGCTGATGATTTAAAACTATTTTTACATGACTGCTATTTAATTTTTCAGTAACAATGGTCATTTTAATTTATTAAAGTCATTTGTCATTTTATATTAAAATGGTACTGTAGGTATTTCTTCTACCCAATGTCAGATTACTTGTAAATATATAATAAAATTATTTGCATTAAGTGATGTCTCTTTTTTTATTAAAATAGCACATATATATATATATTTACATCCACTATCTTTTTGCTTCTTCCTTCACAGAATAATTTTAATCACAAATAATGGTTTTTGCATTACTACCTCTCTTTTACTTTATCTCTTTGGGGCCCCAAATGTTGAATATTTTAATGTTATATTTTAGCGTTTCATTTTTATTGCTTTTAATTATTTTTTCTTGACTTACTTGTCGACTCCTCTCTTCCCAAACTCTTTGTTTTGTATATTTTCTTTCAAGACTTAATAGCCTTCTACTATCTTCTAATTATGGTTCTCCACCCCATTTCTATTCTCTAGTTTTTGTCTGATCAGTTTTTCTCTACTTGGTTCAGCTTTTTCTCTTTGTCTCTATTACTTTGGTATCGTGTTGCCTCTGGCCATATTGCCTCCTTTCAGATACCTTGTCCTTTGATTTATTTACCTTAACCAGAAGAGTAAAGTGAAATTAGGAGACTCCTTAACATCTTCCTGTTCAGAGATGTTGGTCTCCATGCGTCAGTTGCTTCAGATTTCTGGGCAGATAATTACCCATTCCTTACTAGGAACTGAGCCAGCAAACCTCAAATCCAGTGAAGTTGATTTCCAGCACCTTTAAATACATGTCTTCTTGTTTATTGTGCTTTTTACCACATCTTTCTGATTTTATAAGAAACTATTTTATCAAAATATCATTTAAATAACTCAGAGGACAGTGAATAATCAGTTACTTGTTTGGTCAGGAATATAAGGAAAGGTTATCTGTGCATTTTCCTTGCCTTTACCCAAAAAAATTATTAGACGCATGGCAAAGGCGCTGGGATATGAGCAAAGACAAAGACAAGCTCTCAAACATTTAGATAATGATTTTTTACACATGGTCTTTACCCAATATCTAAATACTAATTTTATGGAGGCCACATAGTGCTATAATAAAATAATAAAGTATTATTATCAGTGTTATTGCCAAGGCATAATAGAAACTGAGAACTGGAAATATACCTGTGATAAATGCTTAAATGGGGGAAAAAGATAGGCTCAATTACTAAAAGGCAAGAGATCAAATTACCATTTATTTAAACTAGAATATTATGTTAGAATTTATGCCTTCAAATTTGTTCTCATAGTGGGCTTAGAAAAAGGAATAAAATATATTACGATTTTTCAGAACTGCATACTTTGATAAAAATTTTCCTTCATATAGGTTTAATTTTGTTTGTGATGTTCTCTTTCTTTCCTCCTTTCTTTCTTCCTTTTCTTTTGTTCTTTCTTTCTCTCTCCTTTTTTTTTTTTTTTTTTGCCAGCACATATATATATGGCTTAATGTGGAAAGGAAATGAAAAACTTAATCTAAGAGTTAAAATGTGTTCAGCAATATGTTTCTCAAACTTAAGTGTTTCTGTCTGCCATTCTCTGTGCCTAAACCTTGCTATTCTGTGTACAATACACAGAACAATTGTGGCAGTAATCTGTACTCTGGTGTGTAAATGCAGTGAATTGTGGTTGACAGGGGGAATTGTAAGCTTGCAGTGAGTTGCAAATTGAATCCAAAGATCTGTATTAAGGACAGTATTACAGCTGCTTTTTAAACTTATTGTTAGATAAGTACTGTCAACTTTTGATTATTCAGAAGACGAGTGAAATCCAATGAATTTAAATATTTTGCCAATTGTGTGTAAGCTGAAGAGATTTATGTTAGTATTATTTATTAAAACGGGGTCTTAAACTACTAAAATGGAAATTTTACAAATCTAGGGCTAAAATGTATGCACACTAATTCAAGTAGATTTCTTAACGTATCAATAGAGACATTATGCATAATTTACTATATACCTAAAATACACACAGGAGTACTTACTCTCATCTGCATTCTACATAATTAAGCTAACGTTTCTAGTCTAGTTCATAGTCTCACAATGTCTCACTCACTGAAAACCATGACCAGTCATGGTTAATCTTTGCCAAATGTAGATATATTTATCTTGTGCAGTAGATCTATAAATGATTGTCAGGATTCTTCTAAAGGAACCCCAAAATTTCAAACTTACAAATGCATGATCAAATTATGACAAAAGGAATAAACATTGAAATTTAATGAATACTTATTAATCTCTCTTCTCCCTTCTCCTATCCAGCCAGTGTTGGTAGAGTAAATACCAGTGATATGGCTAAAAAGTGTGTAAAGCAGAAGGGAGAAGAAGTGAGGGAATGACTCATCCACAAATGGATGAGCTAAATCCTGAATAATCAAGAATTGCTCCAACATCAACTAGACACCTCTTGTTATTCCTTATTTTTCATTCTGCCATTTTAGTATCATAATATCACTGTTTTCCATTGTTTAACATTATGGAGTAACATTTGAAAATATGCTGAAATGTAATTACATCAATGGCAATTCATTATATTCGCAGCTTTTCTAAAACTAATCATGCTTTGTTGACAAAAGCCAAGTTATTTTTATGTAACAATACTATTCTTATCATGTTTAAATTCATAAGCCTCTGTTGAAATATAGTTCATCATCATTAGAATTGGCTTTGGGTATTACTTAAGATTACACATGGTCATGATACATTAAGTATAATATTTATAAAGGGGATACATTTAAAATTTTACCTAGCTATAAAATTTCCTATATAGAAAAATGAAAAGAGTAAACAGCATATTTTGCATCATTCTGAAAAAATTTTTGTAAGTAAAGCAGTAACTTCATCATTAAATATAAAATACTTTAATTTTTATCAAATTTCTCTCTTTGTTACTGCTAACTTGACAATTTAATATACTTTAAAGAGCAATTCTTAAAAATCATGAAAGTAGAAGACAAACTACTTAAAATACTTTAATTCATTTATCAATATTGGAATAAAATTATTTAACCTTTTCTAGAAATGTTTTGCTGATACTATTCTAATTGTTATTTGTAATATAATTAGAAAAATATTAAACAGGATTTTTTAGGAAACTTCTTGGCTGCTGAGAACAATTTTAACTTGCAGAAATGATCTTATTTCTCCCCAACGTTTTCACTGAAAATCACATTGCATAAAGATATATGTACATTGCATGCATTATAATTATGCTATTTTCTCAATCTCTGCACATTAATTTGACAGCTTTTGAAATAAGTAAGATTTTATTTTTTTATTTTTTTTAAAGATTTTATTTATTTATTTGACAGAGAGAGAGAGCGCGAGAGCAGGAACATAAGCAGGGGGAGTGGGAGAGAGAGAAGCAGGCTTCCCGCTGAGCAGGGAGCCCGATGCAGGGCTCGATCCCAGGACCCTGGGATCATGACCCGAGCCGAAGGCAGACGTTTAACGACTGAGCCACCCAGGCGCCCCGACAAGTCAGATTTTAAAAACATCAGCATTCCATTAAAAACACGCATAATTTATGGCAATATACAAAATGCGATGCTGTGTTTTCATAACTACGTTTCTTCCATGGAAAGAGGGATGGGGAGGAGGTGGGATGGAGGGAGAGAGAATTTTCATAGTCTGACCTTCCATGTGCATCTTAGGGGATAATCAGATCATAAGTTGACCTTGAAATAAAATCTTATATTTGGGAAAATTTAAACAAATTTAACTTAAAATCTAGATATACGGAATGTGGAAGAAAGAAAGATTTTATTTGCCTGTAAACCCAAGCTCTCTAACTGCATTTACTAATCAAATACAACTCCTCAAAACATCTGTTCTTTAACATGACATAGATGTCATTAAAAATTTTAGATTTGTGCAATTTAAGTACATATATATAACATTAGGACTTTCGAACCTGGATTCTGGGTTTATAAAGCATATGATAAAACATATGTTTTAAAACTTCATTTTAATTACTAATTATTTAAATTCTCTAGCAGAGAATGATTATTTTCAGGTTAAGAAATTTTAGTCCCTATCACCTGACTTAGGTCCAAAGTATGCTAGTGAACACACATGAATACCCACATCTATGCAGTTCTTCATGATTCATAAATTGTAGAAACATGAGAATATTAATTAGCTCATAACTGAAATTGCTATGAAGTATAGATTGGGTTACCATAGTGTCAAAGAAGTATGTGTTCAGTTTCCACCATTAAATATCTTCCTTCTTTTAGAATTTTTGATATACGATGTTATCACTACAGAATTCTCATTTTACAAATGAATAAATAATTGTATGTAATTTGAAGTACTTTGCTCAAAATCATATCTCAGAGTAATGAGAAATTAAAAGAGTATGGACTTTGGCATCAGGTTCCTGGTTTAGTGTTAACAGGTTCCTGGTTTAGTATTAACCCTGCTACCCACTAGCTGTGTTATCTAGCCAAGTGATTTAAATTCTCTAAGCCTTCATTTCCTCATCCATGAATGATTAACAAAAATCTATGTCATAGACTTATGTATTTTCCTAGCATATAGGAAGAAGAAATCTTAATTTTCACCTATTATTTTTATATTAGTGCAATGTTTGTCAACTGGGGGAGATTTTGCTATTCAGGGGACATATGGCAAACACTTTGTCTTGTCACAACAAAGGGTCAACTGTGGTGCCATTCTTCTGGTATTTGGTGGATAGAGGCCAGGGATGTTGTTACATATTCTATAATGCATAGAGTAGCCCCTACAGCAAAGATTTATCCAGCCCATAATGTTAACAGGGACAAAGCTAACAAACTCTAATGTAGTAGAAAAGAGAAAAAAAAATTAAGCTCAAGTTTCTTTTATCCCAATGCTAGTCAGTAACTAGCTATTTTATAGTCTATTGCATAACTAACAATAGTCATTTTGTTTCAAAGTGAATTTTTACTGTTTTCTTTTCACTTTTGCTGATGATTATCTTCCATGACTACCTTATAGATCAATTGATAGATAGATAGATATAGATATAGATAGATATAGATTATTTTGTACTCTGGTGTCTTGTAGTTTTAATACCCTCTAATGTTTAATATTCACATTCTAAGAAAGAAAGAACTGTTTCTACCCTAAGTATAAATTGCTTCTTTTTTTAGCTATTGCCATTTACTAAACCTCCCCTAAAAAATCAAGAAAACATAAAAGGAAAAAGAAACCTAAGATATTATTTAAATAAGCAATTATTTCCAATACTAATATATGTAGAACCTAAGTACACATTTTTAAAATTTCTATTCCCTGATACTCTCTTGAGATTTACATGTTTCCAAAGCTATCGGATTTGACATATAATGATTCTAATGTCATTGTATCCAATTCTAAAGAATTCTAAGATACTCTGAATGCAAAAATATCCTTTGAGTATAATGTATTCAATAAGGTAATTATCTAAAGAAATCTAACACGGCAAACAGTTTTGTCACTTAAAAATCTTGATTTGTTATTTTTTCCTATAATTAATGTTATCACTTGCCAAACATACCTGAATAATTGTATTTGCCAAATATATACTCTAGGAGTATAGAATTTCTGAATATCCTATGAAATAACAATTAAGAACCATGGATTTTTGACTTTGAGCTCCATAATATGCTGTTAGTTTAGAAATCTAAACATTTATAATTTTCTTTTGACTAATAAGCTTGTTTAAAAGAAACAGTAGAAATATATCTTGGTTGAAAAGATTTTCTGAGAATGTGTAATCTTCAGAATGCTCTAAATGCCAGAAGAGCCTAGATATTATTTGGTAAAGGAAGAAAGCTCTGGTACTTTGGGTTCCAAGTAAAAAATAAAATATTTGAAAGTGTTATAAGAGCAATGTAGTGAAAATTATCCCGTAAAGATATCTGGTGTATAAAATGATTGTACTGACTGAGTCCTTTGAAGATTTTGGTCTTTAGCTGCTTAACTGTAAAATTTTAAAAGTATATTTTATGCTTCTTTTAGCAAAAAAAGAAAAAAAATTGTTGTTCCTATTGTAGGTCCATATTTTCAAAATTGTTCAATGAAATTGTACCTTTAATTTAAATATGTTATTGGTAAGCCTGTGCAAATTTGTTTTTCCACCACTCTGTGCCACCAAAATAATGAAGCCTAAAAAAGGGGGCAAATATATATTATAGCACCCCTTATTATTATAAGTTAAATGTTTGACTGCAAACAGATTTTCAAGGTACAATTTGGGAGACTGCCTTTGAAAATTGGACCCCATATATCTAAATTGGGACTGTAATCTAATTAGTTTCTGCAAAATGTTTGTGTCTTTGCCAGCGTGAAATATTGAGGTGTGCTACCAATTGAATCAATACATACATCCAATGTGTGCTTTCTTCATGCAGGGATTTGAGACGGCTTGGAGTGACTCTTGTCGGTCACCAGAAGAAGATCATGAACAGCCTTCAAGAAATGAAGGTGCAGCTGGTAAATGGGATGGTGCCATTGTAACTTCATTCCAATGTCACTTCATCAAGTGAATGATTCTGCACTTTGTAAACAAGCCCTGAGATTTATTTTAACAAAAAAAAAGGGGGGGGGAGGGAACACTCAGTGATTTCTAAACCTTAGGAGAGCATTTGTTTCAGCCACAGAATTTGTAATCAGTGTTTTGCTAAAATCTCCTTATCTTCCTCAGTGTCTTCATTTTTCGTGAAGCAAATATAACCTGCATGGAATAAAAACATGAGGTTAAACATTATCTTATGTTGCAACAAGAAAATCCTTTCCACTACTTCTACAAAATTTTATAAATGAAAATTATAACTATATATATAGCACCTTTACAGACTGAATTAAAGCAGCCCCTTTCAAAACTTCCAAGGATCTACTTGAAAGGAAAAGTTTATAGCCATTTGTGGGCTAACAAAAGCTGCAATTTACTGAAGTTTACTTCAAGTCTTATTTGTCTACATAAGTGTATTGAAGAGCAATATGATTAGGTAATTTCTTAATAGATACCTTCTTTTGTAATTTTAAAATGCTGTTACACAGCGTTAAGTTATAGACTCTAGTGTATAAATATGTTGCTTGATCAAGGACAAGTACAATACAGGGTGCATTATTTATTTTTCTGTGTTATAAAATTTACTTTTAGTTGCTCTTCTAGAAACTATTAGGTAATAAATGTGTATATACTGTATAATTTGCTATATACCCAGGAATCAATTTAAGTTGGAGTTTTGTGTGTGATGCTTGCACATGTGTGCGTTATCATTCTGCTTGCATTTTTAATAGTGTTTTTATTTTAGCAACATACAGGAACAAGTGTTCCACAGTGTAATATAAATAGGAGAAGTAGGGAAGCAGTAAAACGAAAATTTAACACAAGCTTGTGTCTTTCTTCCTCTCGTATGTCCAAAAGCTACTAAATCTCTTTATTCACTAACAGGAAATGTCTATAAGATTAAATCCCCTTTGGCTTTTTGGAAACACTTTGTGGTATCAGTGACAATGCAGTTCTTCTAGCCATTAATCTTGCACCGCTGTAAGAAATTTCACCTTTCTGAGTCCCAGAAAATATCTTGTCAAGCAAAGTTGACACCGAAGGGCACATTTTCAGCAGGATATAGAAGGATTTAACTGTTAATGTTGTTAAATCCAGGCACATAGCACTAAGCATTACCCCTAAGTGTTAATCCTCCATAACCATTTCCCTTGTGGTTCAGCTCTAGAAATTTTGATACTAAGGCAGCAATGGTATGATGAAATATATATATATAAATATATACATATACATATTTCCTTCAGAATTGTCTTTGTTTCAAAACTTAAGTTTTATTTGTTGATGGCTGTTTATTCATTTGGTAATTTCTTCTTGTATTCAGTTTCATCAAATTGAACTTATTTTGATAAACCAGTCCAAAGTATTATTTAGTTGGCCTTATTAAGGAATATAAGATATGTTCTATGTATATTTTATGTATCACACTTGGTGAAGACAGACATTTGTGTTATAAATTATATGGTTTATTAGAATTTGAACAAAACTGAGCTCCTTGGTGAAATAAAAAATTTTTATAGTATTACATTTTATAGAAACCATGGGATGACATGTGATTATTCAAGGAGTATTGCATTTGAACAAAATATAGCCTATGTATGTTATCAAGGGCAATAGTATATTGGAGTAGTCTGGATTAATGAAATCCATAGAAAATATACCTGCATGATATTAATGGTATTGTCTTTTCCAAGCACTTGTTTTAGTTGAATATTAGCACATACAAGAATAAACCTTGAAGGAATAACTTCTTTCTACTTTGCCAACCTTTTACTTAAGCAGTAAGTTCTCTTTGCTAAAGAACATGGCAAAAAAAAAAAAAACAAAAAACAAAAAAACAGAAAAACCAAAGGTTCTAAACAATTCTCAGATGGCATATTTAGTTTGGCCCAATTATGGCTATAATTACTTATTAGATTTATACTATACCATGGGTCCTAACAAAATACACTTCAAGTATACTTTAATAGATAAGTGAAATTTGCAGAGAAAGTAGAAAAAGGTGGATTTAGCATTGTCTTGATAAAATCACAAGTGGGCATCACCATTATGAAAGATGCCTTTGTTCATTTCAAGAAACAAAATGAACTGAATTAATTCTTTCTGTACAAAATAATTGGAGACATGTTGCACTTTATTGAATTTCATAAAAACAACTGAATTTAATTCATAAAGTAACAATTGAGAACCTTCAAAGTAGGAATAGACGATTTAAAATACAAACTACCATAAATGTTAGGACTAGCCACAATTACTTACACATAACAAAGATATTTTCTGAATGTCTTCTAAAAGTTTTATGTTCAAAAATGATTTAGAGGTCAGCACAGAGTATATCTAAATGATTAGAATTTAAAGTTACAATGTAGATTTCCTCTTTTCACAAAAGAACAGTGTAAATTAATATGAATCGATTCCTTTGCAATTCTGGCATTCCTTTGGGAAAGTAAATTGAGATGAAAGTTAGACACATCGATTTCATCTACATCTCACTTTGGTTGAGAATTTCTAAGGCATGGCAATATGGTTTTAAAATAAATAAAGAGATTTTCAAATAAGATCTGCTCTCCCCCCACATAAAAAAAAAAAAAAGAGGAAAGAATTCCTTTCTAAAATATTTATTCACCACTGGATATATCACCAATTGGGAAGTGCCAATCTCATCTATAAATGTGAGAAGTGGAACCAGGAGAGGAGGCAGCTCTTGTGAAATGCGGGGAGTCAGTAACCCAGGGTGAGGTTTGACAAATCTTGATTGTGTGATTTCTTATCCTTTTGGTTCATTTTGTCACCCACCAGACAACTAAAAATAAAACATAAACCCAATAATTTTAGCACATAAGATAGATTTGTCAAATAATACATAATGTTATTGTAACTATCAAGTAGCAATACCTTTAAAGCATGAGTCATTCTCCATGTTGAACTTGGAAAAATAGGCACAAACAGGGAGTTTTTTTCAACTTACTGATACCTGTGGAAATCACTCAATTACTACTTTTATCAATCATAATTTGTTAAAAAAAATCATAATTTGTTTCCTAATCTTCCCATTTGCTCACATGTTCTTCTTGGCCATTGAAATATCTAAATTGTATGTAAAAATGTAAAGATTTTGCTTTTCCCATGTAAAAAAATGTGCATGGTCTTTTATCTATTCTCTTTTAATCATCAAATCAGTGTTCTAAAGTTGTAGGATTTCTGTAAAAATTATATTCCAATACTTTATCTAAACTTAAATGTGGCCAGCATTATTAGTTTCAGAGTTGCAAAAACAATACAGAACATCCTTCTCTTAGTTTGTAAAGAGTTTTAGCCAGTGTGCAATGGTGAAGAGATAATTTCACATCTTAAGTTTAAATGAAAAATTAATATCTGTTGAACACTTATGTGTTTGCATGTCTGCTATTTAATCTCTATGTGAAAGTCAAAGATTTTTTTAACACCATTATTTCTCCCATTTAAAGTGGGCTTGCAGAAGCACAAGTAGAAAAATTTACATGTGGAAGACATTTTTGTTTGTAATGGTGTGTTGGATGGCAAATTTGTGTCAGATATTAGAAATTTACTAGATGTATGATGTTGCATAGTAGGATAAGGTCTTTTTCCCACTTTTTTTCTTTCTAAAAATAAGAAGACAAAAAGCTAAATATGATAGTAAACTGTGTTTGCTTATGTCCTGCCAGATGTCTAAACTCAAAATAAATAAAAAGTAGGTACAATATGATGATGATGATGATGAATAAACAGTCAAAATGCTAGTTTTATTTGAAATTAATAACTAGAATAAGTCATCATTTTTTCAACTCTGTAGCACAGCTGGTTACATTGAATATTTTTCTCTATTATGTTGTTAATTATATAGTAATGTATCAAAGGAGAAATAGATAAGAACTTTCTTTTCATGTTGGTTTATAAAAACATCTTTTTACACATAAATGATTGAATGTTCTTATTCAGAATGACCACAAAATTATTGCTTAGGAGAAGACACAATTCTTAAAAAAAAGAGAGAGAGAGAATCTATTTATTATAATCAGAATCAAATGTCATTTGTTTCTTCTAAATGTAAATGAAAAAAATTGAAGGTGGCAAAATAAATTATGTTTATTCAGTATGGACTATATTAACAGTAGAGATTTTAGTGGTCAACATATTTGTGAATCTTCAGATTGCAATAGTTTTACATTTAATAATTTTACAGTTTGTAAATTTCATTTATAATAGTCTGAGAATAAAACTTAGACTCAGTCATTTGTTAATATGTTTATTAAATTCTCTTAGAAGCAGCTGTATAGAGTATCTTATTCTAGGCTAGGCATCAGGGTATCTCAAATCCGTGCCTAAGCATTAATTCAAGAAAGGATTAGTGTTTCTGTATTTTTCCCCCATTTGAAGCTCTCTGTGCATTTGGTCTGTGTATATGTTTTTGTAGTGTAAGATATGAAATTTTATATTTTTTCAGAAAATAAAAAACCCTTTGAATACAGTTAAATCCAATTGTCATGCTTGACCCTCCCCCAAAAGATTCTAAACTTACAGCCTTTTTTTTTTAAAGATTTTATTTATATATTTGACAGAGAGAGACACACAGTGATAGAGGGAACGCAAGCAGGGAGAGTGGGAGAGGGAGAAGCAGGCTTCCCGCTAAGCAGGGAGCCTGATGCAGGGCTCGATCCCAAAACTCTGGGATCATGACCTGAGCCAAAGGCAGACACAACTGAGCCACCCAGGCGCCCCTAAACTTACAGCTTTTGTATAATGATTTCAGTTAGTTCTAATAAAAATGTTTGAATTTCCTATGCTAAATATTTAAAATGCAATCAGCATTCATTTTCTTCAAAGACATGTTCATGAATCTTTGTATTCAAGTATTTTTGCAACCAGAGTTTGACATAAGACTGTAGGACATGAGCATAATTGTGTGAAACCTAATTAGAAGTTGATTTGTGACAGTGTAATACAACATTACTTAGAAAAAAAAAACACACAAAAT